TGTAACTTGTCTAAGTACCTTTGCATCCGATCTTCCTGAACCTCAAAAGTTCTGTTGACCTGATTTACCACAAGTTGGGAGTCACACTTGGCCTCGATGACATCGGCTCCCAAGCTCTTCGCTAGTTCGAGACCTGCAATCATGACCTCACACTCGGCCTCATTGTTAGTCAATTTTGATGTTTCGATAGATTGCCAAATCGTATTTCCTGTGGGTGGCTTCAAAATGATGCCTAGCCCGGACCCCTTCACATTTGAAGCACCATCTGTGAAAAGGGTCTATACCCCTGAGGATGTACCCGATTTTAGCAATAGTTCCTTTTCGACCTCGGGTACGAGGGCTGGTGTGAAGTCGGCCACAAAGTCTGCTAAGATTTGAGACTTGATGGGTGTTCGGGGTTGATACTCGACATCGTACCCACTGATTTCGACGGCCCATTTGGTCAGTCGGCCCGAGAGTTCAAGCTTTTGCTGAATGTTGCGAAGGGGGTAGGTTGTTACAACACAGATAGGATGACATTGAAAATAAGGTTTTTAATTTCCTAGAGGCGCTTATTAAGGCAAGTGCTAATTTTTCTAAGTGTGGGTACCGGGTTTCGGCCTCACCTAAAGTTCGGCTAACATAGTAAACAGGAAATTGCATACTTGCTCTTCTCGAACTAGGACACCACTTACCGCGACCTCCAAGACTGCCAAATACAAGTAGAGTTGCTCGTCCACTTTCGGAGTATGAAGCAATGGTGGGATCAAAAGATACCTCTTTAATTCTTCCAATGCATGTTGGCACTCCGGGGTCCAAGTAAAGTTGCTCTTCTTTTTGAGAAGTGAGTAGAACTTGTGGCTTCGATCCGAAGACCTCGAGATGAACCGGCCTAAAGCGGCTATCCGCCCTGTTAATCTTTATACGGCCTTAATGTTGTCCACGACTGTGATGTCTTCGATTGCCTTGATTTTGTCGGGTTGATCTCGATTCCCCGATTCGACGCCATAAAGGCGAGGAACTTGCCTGAATCGACCCCGAATGCTTATTTCTCGGGGTTGAGCTTCATGTTATATCTTCTCAATATGTTGAAGGTTTCCTGCAAATGTATCAAATGGTCCTCTGAGCGCAGGGACTTAACTAGCATGTCATCAATATAAACCTCCATTGATTTACCTATTTGTTCATCGAACATTCGGTTTACTAGGCACTTATAAGTAGCACCAACATTTTTTAGCCCAAACGGCAATACATTATAGCAGTAAGAACCATACTTAGTGATCAATTAAGTCTTTTCCTGGTCCTCCGGGTTCATTTATATTTGGTTGTACCTGGAGTAGGCATCGAGAAAGATGAGGGTCTTGTGGCCGGCCGTGGCATCGATCATGCGATCGATATTTGGCAAAGGAAAAGAATCTTTAGGGCATGCTTTGTTTATGTCTTTATAGTCTACGCACATTTTGAGTTTATTCCCTTTCTTAGGGACTACGACTACATTTGCTAGCCATTCGGGATACTTTACTTCCCGAATGGTCCCTATTTTGAGAAGTTTGGTTACCTCTTCCTTGATGAATGCATGCTTAACCTCGGACTGTGGCCTTCTTTTTTGCTTTACCGATCTGAACTTCGGGTCCAAACTCAGCCGATGAGTGGTAATCTCCGGCGGGATCCCTATCATGTCAAGGTGGGACCAAGCAAAAAAATCCATATTTTAATAAGGAATTTAATGAGTTTTTCCCTGATCTCGGGAGTTAACCCCGTGCCCAGGTATACCTTTCGATCGGCAGGTGCTCGATCAGTATGACATGTTCCAGCTCTTCAACCATTGACTTCGTGGCATCAGAATCATCGGGGATTACGAAGGTCTGAGGTACCATATAATCATTATCCTTGATGGTTTCATGGTGTTCCGATCCGGTGGAGGCCGGCGACTGTGGTTGCTATTTGACTTCCTGTTTTTCCTTCGATCATATTCCCTTTGTCGATGTTAGAGTCGATACTGGTATCACCTAATCAATTGCAAACATCTTTTTGGATGTTGGTTGTTCGCCGTACAGTGTTTTGATTCCTTTCAGCATTGGGAACTTCAATACTTGATGAAGCGGTACCGCTCTCATATTATGGATCCCAGGTCTCCCGAGCAGCGCGTTGTATCTCATATCACCTTCGATTATGTGAAACTTCGTTTCCTGGATAGTTCCGGCCGCGTTTACTGGCAACATGATTTCCCCTTTGGTGGTTTCACTTGCCATGTTGAAACTGTTAAGCACTCGAGCTGCAGGCACGATTCGATCCTGAAGGCCGAGTTACGACCCTCGATCGAATAATGTTTGCTGAGCTACCTGGATCAACCAACACATGTTTAACTTGAATTTTATTTATAAGGATAGATATTACCACTGTGTCATTGTGAGGTTGTTCGATTCCTTCTGTATCCTTATCGTTGACAGATAAGGTATCCTCTGGTAAGTAATCCTGAGTACGTTTCTCCCTTGTGATTGTCACCTTGGTGTGTTTGAATATCGGGCCTTGAGGAACATCGACCTCACCGACGATCATATGAATCACATGCTGCGGTTTTTCCTGTTTGTTTTTCTAGTTTGCGTCCCTGTCTTTGAATTGACTTTTAGCTCGGTCACTTAAGAAATCTCGAAGGTGACCCTCGTTGAATATACGAGCTACCTCCTCCCTTAACTGTCTGCAGTCTTCGGTTTTGTGACCATGGGTTCCATGGTACTTGCACATTTGATTTGAATTCCTTTGAGCTGGATCAGTCTGTAGGGGTTTGGGCCACCTAGTATCCTTGATTCGTCCAATGGCTGACACAATACCTTAAGCATCAACGTTGAAGTTGTACTCCGATAACTGTGGCGCTTCTTTAGGCTCGACATGTTTATCGAAGCCACTCTTACTCATGAGCCCTCGGGAATTTTGACCTAGATCATTCCTTCGATCATTTAGAATGGGATTACGTCCCGGTCCGTTGTTTCTACGATCTGCGCTATATGGTTGGTACCGATCTCTGTTCGATTGGGCTCTCTATCGATGTCCCTTTGAATCCTGACTTCGGATCTATTTGAGTAGACGGAGCCGGAAGGGGCTCCCAACTGATCATCCTCGACTCTGATCTTTGACTGGTATCGGTTATGCATATCGGCCCAGGTCACCGCCGGATATTCAATCAAATTCTGCTTTAGTTGACGTGATGCTACCGAACTTCGCTTGTTCATAGCCTGAGTAAAGGCTTGGACAGCCCAATCATTGGTAATCGGGGGTAGGTCCATGCGTTCTATCTGAAATCTAGATATGAATTCCCTTAGCATTTCATTGTCCTTTTGTCTCACTTTCAAGAGGTCCGACTTCCTGGTCGCGACCTTTATTGCTCCGGCGTGTGCCTTTACGAACGAATCGACGAGCATGGCGAAATAATTGATGGAATTGAGCGACAAATTGCGGTACCATATCATTTCCCCCTTCGATAAAGTTTCTCTAATTTTTTTCAGCAAAACGGATTCAATCTCATCATCTTCTTAGTCATTTCCCTTTATTACGCATGTGTACAAAGTGATGTGTTCATTAGGATCGGTGGTCCCGTTGTACTTGGGGATGTCCAGCATACGGAACTTCTTAGGGATGGGCTTCAGAGCCGCACTTTGAGGAAAAGGCTTCTGCACGAACTTCTTCGAATCCAAACCCTTTAGGATCGGGGGTGCCCCCGGTATTTTGTCAACTCGTGAGTTGTACGTTTCTACCTTTTTGTCATTAGCCTCGATTTTCCTTTCACCTAATTCTATCCGTTTAGTGAGCTCCTCGAGCATCTTCATGATGGCGGGGTCAGTTCCCGATCCATTATCGTTCAATTTCTCTTGTACAGGTTCGACCCTACGTACAACTTCCTGTGATGTATCAAATTCGATTCTGCTTGGTGCCCAATTCTGGAGTTGCGCTATTGCAGCCTACTGAGTTTGTAACATTTCAAATATCATTCGAAGGCTAATCCCGCCTTCTTCAGCGATCTGTGCATTCTGATCTGCTGCCCGGGCGTCTTTGCGAACGCTATTTTCAGGGTCAGCGCCTAAATTTCCATGAATCGCAACACGAGAATTGACATCGATTGGATTCATGGCCTGTGGTCCATCGGGATTGATTGGAGCTACTCTGTTTCCTGGGGCAACTATGTGTTTGCCATGAAGACCAAGGCCGGTATTTGTGTGAGTGGGCACTGCTTGAGAGCTTGACATGTTAATTCCTGAAATCAAAGACACTTACAAGAACAAGTGTAAAAGCAGTATGTGCTATGAAAATTAATACTATGCAATCACTATTATCCTTAGCCCCACGGTGGGTGCTAAACTGTTTACCCTAAAAACTGAATAACAATTAAACTTGTAATGTGATTTTAAGGATACGTGATTTTACCTAATACCAATTGATATAATTAAAGATAAGTGATGGGAATTGACAAGAATGTAAAACAAACCAATGCCTGGACAGTGCCCTCGAGCTGATGAACTCTCGAGCTTAGTAAAGTAAGAACAATTAAAGAATAGCAAGTTGATAAACCAGAGAAAAAGAGAAATATTATATTGATTTGATCTGTATGAATGGAAGGTGTCTACAAATGATGGTATTGTAATGTCACATGATGTGCACGTGACTAGTTAGTTTGTTAGTTGAGTTGTTAAGTTGATTAGTTAGATAGCTAATGGTAGTTATAGATGTTAATGTAAGTTAAAAAGATTAGTCTTTTACACTTTACCAGTTTCTCTTTTAGCTCCTTCTGTATATAAAGACATAGTGTATTCAATAGAACAGTGGCTCGAACATTTTCACTCAAGCACTGACTTTCTTCTTCACATTTCTTCTAGATTCTTCCACCATTAGAGTTCCTTGTAGAGCTCTGTATTTGAGCATGGTATCAGAGCAGTGGATCTAGATCAAGTCATGCTAAATCTCTGAAGTCATTTTTCTGTTTCGTCATTGTTTAATCAAAATTCATTGGAACTTGTTGGTTTTCAGTCATGCCGGAGTCAGATTCGTCCGCGCCGGCGTCTGGTTCGTCTGTGCCGGAAATTGTAACAATTGACCACAATCATCCACTGTACATTGGACCTTCTGATAATCCTAGCTCACTCGTAATACCGGTGAAGCTCACAGGCTCCGAGAATTATGGGCTTTGGAGTAGATCTATGAGAATAGTACTCTTAGGGAAGAAGAAATTAGGCTTCATTAATGGTAGATGCAGCAGAAATGCGTATGAAGGAGAGTTGCTTGAACAATGGGAGACATGCAACGCCATTTTTCTCTCATGGATCATGAATAATGTGGCACCGGAGCTTCTAGGTGGAGTTGTATATGCCTCTGATGCATATCAGGTATGGGAAGATCTGCGAGAGAGATTTAACAAGGTAAATCGTGTTAGGATTTTTCAGTTGCACCGTGAAATTGCTACATTATCTCAAGGAACAAATTCTGTTTCAGTGTATTTTCAAAAATTGAAGGAATTATGGCATTAGTATGATGTTTTGGTTCCATTTCCTAATTGTTGTTAAAAGTCGAAAGAACATGCAAAAAATTTACATCAACAAAGAGTTATGCAACTTCTATCTGGTTTGAATGAGTCATATGACCAAGCTAGGAGACAAATTCTAATGAAAACAAATGCACCTAGTCTAAATCAAGCCTATGCTATGATTATTCAAGATGAGAGTCAATAGAAAATAGGGGTGAATGTTGTAACTTCTGATAAGATAAAGCCTTTAGCTATGCAAGCAGGACGAGGAAGAGGTAGGAGACAATACCTACAATGTGATTTTTGTCATCTTAAGGGGCATACTAAAGAAAATTGTTATAAGATTGTTGGTTATCCTGCTGATTATGCTCCTAGAAGGAGATATGGTGAAGGACCAAGGGCTCAAGGTGAACGGCAACAGAACTCAGGCACTGGAAATAAAAACATTTGGAATGGGAACGGTAAATCTGGATGGAACAATCCTAATGTTGGTAAGCAAGGTGGAAATGATAGTATCAATGCTGTGAGCAGGACAAGCAGAGATTCAAGTGAAATTTGGCATAACAGGCTAGGTCATCCATCTACATCGGTAATGGGACATGTAGTAGGCTTAAACAATAAAAATAATGAGATGTCACATGAAAATTGTTTGATATGTCCACTAGCAAAGCAGACTAGGTTGAAGATTCCATTAAGCATGTCTAGATCAGCAGTAGCATTTCATCTTGTACACATGGACTTATGGGGACCCTATAAGATTGCTACATTTGATAAGAAACAGTATTTCCTGACAATTGTGGATGATTACTCTAGATATACATGGGTGTTCTTTTTGCAGTTAAAATCTGAAGCAATAGTGGCAGTAAGACAGTTCATTGCCATGGTTCAAAATCAGTTTGGTATTGTGATCAAGGTAATAAGATCAGATAATGGATCTGAATTCTTCAATGCACAATGTTCTGAGCTGTTAACAGGTCTTGGCATAATTCATCAAAGCAGCTGCCCTTACACTCCACAGCAGAATGGCATAGTGGAGAGAAGGCACAGATATATACTTGACACTACAAGGGCTTTGAAGTTTCAGAGTTCAATTCCAACCAGATACTGGGGAATGTGTGTTAAGACAACGGTATATTTGATCAATAGGTTGCCATCAAGTGTTCTAGGGGGCAAAACCCCATATGAGCTATTGTACCACAAGAATGCTAATATTGCACATCTAAGGACTATAGGTTGTTTGTGCTATGCAACAAATCTAGTCAAAACAAATAAGTTTGCAGAGAGAGCTAAGGCAGCCATTCTCATGGGGTACTCTGAGACACATAAGGATTACATACTGCTTGATTTGGCCACAAAGCAGTTCTTTACAAGTAGGGATGTTATATTCAAGGAATCAGAATTTCCTTTCTCTAAGAAGGATTAGAACAGATCACATGATTCACAGGAGCACATGGATCGGGGAACACTACAAATCTCACCTTTACACATATTGTCGCGCCCCCTTTTTTCCTCCTCACGGAGAAAGTTCGGGTTTCGACATTCATGGGGGATCGACTCCTTTCCTTTTGGGATTTGGGTATTTGAAGAGTCTCCACCTAATGGATTATGGTGCGTTAGGGCACCTAGAGCGGTTAACTCATGTAACTAGTTTGCATCACCAGAGATTAGGGTAAGGGCTCGAAATATCCTTGAGGGGAAGGTGTTAGGCACCCCTCACAGTCCACAACGTTGGGTCCCGGCTGAACTTATATGAATCAGTCATTTAGCAAGTAAACAATTTCAACAAATATTCGCAAACGAGGCATGTTTTTACATTCTAAACACAGGTATGATTCAGGTAATGGGAGCGAGAGAAAGGTTTGAACAATTCGCACATATGTAAAGAAAGTAAATTCATTTAAACAACGGGAGTTGGGAAAGGGGGGTCCTAGGTTGGTTAGCCTACAGGATCATACCCACACAATGCCCGGTAATCACTCCTCAATGAGGGGCTACACGTGATATTAGCGCGTAGTCATCATATCCTTACTACCCAATTCCCTCCAATTGGTCATAGCCTAAAGCGTTCTAGAAACCTTGAAAGATATCCTATGCGTGCACTACCCGTCCCTTCCTTGTGACCCTGGAGGTATTTAGGACCTCTAAATTAGGTAGTTCTAGACCATCATAAGGTACTTAAAGGAGAAAAATCCAGGAGTCAACCAAAACAATTAGGACTGCATTAAAGGGAGAACAGTTAAGGCTCACATTTTACCTCCGCAAACAGAACAAGTAAGTGCACGTCTCAAACAACAGTTTTCAGATATTTAAGAGGAACTCTAGAACAGGATATCTAGGTGAACAGAGAATATGTAGTATTAAATTAGGACTAGATTGTCAGAGACCTATTCAGTTTGCCTACTGGTTTTAGACTTGTTGAATATGAGCAGTCATAGATAACGGAGCGTAGTTCTACCGTTTGCAGAATTTTAGTCGCCCTATAGGCTTGCATAAGCACATAACAGTGATGTCCTATGAGCATGGTATCTAATCATTGATCAGGAATGCAGTAAAGCAGTAAGCAATTTTAAAACGGGCGATTTGAATCCAATAGGCATGCTTTCTAATGATATTGATTGATGCAACGTTGAAAACTTATGAAAGAAATGAATAGATTAGTTAATGATTTAGAATATACAAACATGAGTTGAAGTTAGACTTATTTTAGATCCTATAGGCATGGTTTCTATTAAAGCTGATTTAGACCCTATAGGAATGATTTCTATTAAAGCTGATTTAGATCCTATAGGCATGGATTCTAATTATGTAAAAGTAAACCAAGCAGAATTTTTTTGAACCAAACAGATCCTATAGGCATATTATCTAACGAACACATTTGAACCAAACGGACCCCTATAGGCATGTCATCTAACAAAACACATTTGAATCGAAATGGACCCTATAGGTATGTTATCTACCCCAACGTTACCCACAGTATGCAACTACCCTCCCTTTTCACTAGTCACCCCAATATTTGTTTACAATAATTAATATAGACCAAGAATTGAATATAAATTGCATAAATAGAATAGAAGTTAAGCTATAGGGATCCTGAAGCAGGCCCAAAGCAATCCTGGTGTACCAAGCCTTCACTAGTCTCAAATGCCCAAAGTTTCATAGCCCAATTCATGTCTAGGTGCGTCAAAGTTCCCTAAGGACATTAAGGATCCCGGGCAGTGATCACACCCAAACTTTCCTCAAACAAAGATTATGTGCAGTGTGGAAGTGCCAGCCCTGGTATGCCAGAGTTCAAAGAGATCTCAAGGGTCTCAAGGCAATACACATACCAGAGGGGCGAGACTTAGTATCTAAGAGTAATGTGAGAGTGCATGCTTATTTGAAAGAGTTCGATAAACAGTATAAAGAAAGGTCTTAGGAGTGAAAATAGTTTCTGAAAACCAGTACCAATTTAGAGGTAAAGATAGTTTGAGGAAAGTATGAAAAACAATTTTACAATCAGAACACAAGTCACAGAACAAACATCCTTAGAAAAATACTTTGACAAACAATTTCCACACAAGGAATGAGTGGTTGGGGAACACATAGAATACACCTTAATCGAGCACATAAACAACAGGATGCATAGAATTCTCAAGGGATTCTATAGAACTGATAGGTTAGATAGCATGCAGGTCAATGAACCAAGGATCACAGCAGAAACATGTTTGAGGACACATAAACTGCAGTTACCCTTAGCAGGTAGAATAGGCAATGACTTGAATGAACATACTAGTCAAGTATTAACAAGTGTAGGCATGCTAATTACACAAAAGCAAAGTTTAGGCATGCTGGATAAACAGTAGTTAGTCAAACAGGCTAGTTACATATGCCAGACATGTTAAACAAAATAGTGAACAGACAAGTAAGGTGGGGACATGCTAATTGTATATTTGAATAAATCAGTGCTTGGCATGCTAGGTAAGCATAAACAAAAGCAGGAATAAATTCAGGAATGATGAACTAAGACAGTAAATAAACACATAGGTTTCGATTATGAAATTTAATCAGAAGCATACGAGTTAGAGAAAGAAAACACAAGATGTAAGATAGATGTTGCACAATTTCCAGCCTTGGCTTGCAGCCGGCTATAATAACAAAAGATCACAAGTAGCAGAGATGGCAGAAAGAGTTTTTTAGAGTGTAAGAGTGTGAGGAACTAGTATTCGTGTCTCAAAAGTCAGAATGGGGAGATTATATAGCACTCAGCAGAGTAACACAAATAAGGCAAAGAATAATTAAGAGTTCCAAATAAGGCATGCAAGTAAAATTAAACAATTAATTGGGGCTAAACCCGATCAAATAATTCAACAGAATCCGGAAAGTACCCCTTAAATTAGGGAGAATCAATTAACAACCAAGTTACAGGTTCAATAAGGTTAATAAATCAATCAAAGACCCCCTAGGAGTCGGTTAAAGCAATTGTATCCCATAAGTCAAGCAAATAAACCAACTAAGGCAAGCAGTACTAGTCATGAGTCACAAATAAGGAAAGAAAATCACAGAGAAGTACCAATCTCGGCAAAACATAATTTGAACCCTAATTAGGCAAACAAAATCAGTCAATCCCTTTTAATTGACAGAACTAAAGAATAATGGTAGAATATTAAAATAATCATGTGAAGCAAGCAGAAAACCTAGGGATTAAAACATAGATAGGAAAAATCGATCGAACAAGTAACGAGAACCACAGTCAAACACTTAAGAAATTTAGCAGAAAACTTAAAGGGATGAAACCCTAATTTGAAAACACTTAAAGAAGAGAACTGGAAGGCGTGTCAACATATACAGATTCGAACAAACAGAAGTCATAGAAGTCAAAAACCAGAAGTATTGTAGTGTTTAAAAATCGGTCAGTAGTAAAAGGGGTAAAAGTACCCCAAAAAATAGTCATGGAAGTTTAAAAAACGTTTCAGATAGCTAGAGGTTCAAATAACATGAAAACAAGCCCTGATATAGTAAAAAGGT